CGATTAATCGATTAATCGTTGCAGCCCTAGAGATTTTTGAAATGGAATGCAGCATTCTTCTGTTGGTGTGTGGCTTTTGTTGTGACGTCAACATCCTGCGACAAAAGCAAACGCTGCTGAAGAGGGCTTTTAATATTTTAATTCAAAATGTGTTTATTAAAAACAATATGGATGGAACCTGTGATCCAGCAGTTTAAAGTGCAGCTCTGACACCGGCTGCAGCTGCAAGTTTGATTTCTTTTAGGCAAGAATTAGCAGTGTTAGTGGTTGCTTTCATCTCACAATGATGACATCATAACATATGCCACGCACCAACTGCAAATTGATTTAGGATTTCTGATTTAGGATTTATTATTTACCTATATTATTTAACATTTAAATTGAACATTTAGTGAAAATTAGCAAATGTAAGAACAGTGAGCTAAATAACAACAAAATGTTTCTGGAAAATTTTAACTATGATTTTACACTTACAAAGAGAGCTAAATCATTAAAATGCATTAGTGACATTTTTTAACATTTTATTTTACACTGGCCCCATAGCAGGCCACTAGCTAGCTACTAGYACATCAAATTTGAGCTTAGTATCTGTGAAACTGACTAAATTTAACCTATTTTGTGTTGATAAATGTTGCCTGAATTGAACTGCATTGACTCTAAAAGCTGACATAATACAGTGATTACTTTCTGAATGTTTCAAAGAAATCAGTTATTCATGTGATATTTTGGTGACATGCATGTATAAACACACTCAAAACCAATCAAACKTAATACTGTTCCCCTTTAAGCTTTTGGCGTTGGGCAATTATGAAAAACACAAGGTCCTCTGGCTGAGTAAGGATAAAATAAACAAAAAAGTAATAAAAACAATAATTTAATTAAGCAAAAAAAAAATCAGATCCACACACTGGCACACATTCTATCCCTTTCCCACATTCAGATGCTTTTAATCTAAACTGCCTCCACTGTGTCAGAGCTGTGTCTGAAACAAAACCAGCTCCTCCCTCATCCAACACAGTCCTTCAGCAGAAACCCAGAGAGAAAAGTGGAAAACATTTAAAAATCTATATAAAAACCAAAGCAGCCTGTAAAGTTTAAAGATTACACAGAGTATTAAGAATGTTTCAGTGCAGTCTTCAGTGTGCGAGGACAACAACTTCGAGCCACTGTGATCACACTTGGTTCAATTAAAAAGAACAAAACAAACCAAGATGAGGGGGTGAGGGAGAGAGAGAGAGACAGAGAGAGAAATAAATGTTGGTAAATTACAGGCACGCCTGGCAGCTAAATAGACCCATCTGTGCAGAGCCGAGACCAGTCGGACATCACAGGACGGTCTCACACACACACGTACACACACACAGATGCACAGAGCTGAGCCCCCAGGGATTGGTGATTAAAGCATTTATGGGAACAGTCATTGAGGGATAAAGAGAACTTTATGAAGTCTTTGTTTATTTCTTTGTAGGCAAAGTTTGGAGTGGCTGGATTACTGCCACTTCCTGATGAGAGTCTTATTTCCCTAGCTGGCGAGTCTGTTCATCATCACTTTTTTGTTTCTGGTGTGAAGCACAGGTGTGTGTGAAAGCAACTTTGGTTGCCTCCACATCTGCTAATGACATAGCAGCTGTTAAAAAACACAACTGGGACGTGTTTGAATAGGTTCAAGAGTTAAAGCTCTCTTTATTATTCAGCAGAAACCTGCACAAACATACTCTCTCCAATACACACACACTCGATTCCTACTATTATGTGTTGATTCTGTCTAAACACCAATTAACATTCAGAATGAAAACCTCCCCACTGAAACCTCAATCACCTCCTCCAATCAGCCAGGAACTCTCCTGATTGCTTTGAAGTGAAGCAGAAACGTCAGATCGGGGGGTTTAGTTCAACCGTTCACCAGCTTAAACTAATGTCTCATCCAAT